AGCTGGGCGGACACGGGCCTGCCTGTGCCCTTCTGAGCAGGCCCCACACACGGCCGCCCACGGGTGCCCTTACCTGAGTCTGGGAGGCTCAGTCTGGGTGCCTCGGAATCCAGAACATTCCAGAGCGCAGGCAGAGGGGTGCGGCAGGGCCGCCGAGAGCCGGGCCTGTGCCTCGGTCCTGTGCCCTGGTACAGCTGGCCAGCAGGGCCCTGACTGTCTGTGCGCCTGCCAGGGGCACCCGTGGGCCCAGGTGGTCCCTGTGGGTGTGCCAGGCTGTGTCCGGCTGTGTCAGACTGGGCGTCTGTCAGGCTTGTGAGTGTGTCCGGCTATGAGAACGTTAGACAGTATCCAGCTGTGTGGCTTAGCTGGGTCAGACTGGAGCCTGTCAGGCTTGTGCGTCAGGCAGTGTGTGTCAGGTTGTGAGTGTGTCAGACTGTGAGTATGTCAGACCGCGAGGGTGCCAGGCTGTGTATGTCAGGTTGGGTGTGTGTCGAACTGTGTCTGGCTGTGTGTGTTGGGGTTTGTGTGTGTCAGACTGTGAGGCTTGTCAACTGAGTGTGTTCAGCTGTGTTGGGCTGTTAATGACAGGCTGTGTACACTCTGGGTCAGGCTGTGCGTAGTCAGACTGTGCCAGAGTTCGTCAGGCTGAGTCCGACTGTGCAGGGCTGTGTCTGTCAGACTGCACCAGGCTGTTTGTCAGGCTGTGAGCACGGCAGGCTGCCGGATGATGTCAGGCTCATGTGTGTCCGGCTGTGCGTCAGACGTGAGCGTGCCAGACAGCACAGAGGGGGGAGGGTGCAGGGATGGACACCAGGAGCCCTGGGCATACCTGGCCCCTCGGCGCTTCCTGAGGGCGCTGCCAGGAGCTGCCCGGCCCACAGGTTCCCGCCCATTTGGCCGCCGGGACCTCTCAGAGGGGCCCAGAAGCTGGCACCATGGCTTCACGCCAGTGTGCTGGGCCAGCCGCTGCCCACACATGTGCTCCAGGCGGAGCCTTGCCAGCGTCCTGCCACACTCAGTGTCCCCATGTCGGTACCGTCCGGAGCAGAGGACACAGTGCCGCGACGGGACGGCGAGGGGCTGTAGGCAGATGCCAGCCCGCCTGGGCACTGCCGTCCTCGACTCCTGCTCCCCTGCCTGGCCCCTCCCCTCCCCCGCCCGTCCCCTGCATGCCAACCCCTCTTCCACTGCCTGTCCCTCCCTCCCCTGTCTGCCCCTCCCCTGCTCAGGGCCAGCCCTGTTGTCCCTCTTCCCTCCCTTCCTGTCCCCTCCCCCACCCCTGCGCCTCCCCACTCCTGCCCTGCCCCTCCCCTCGCGCGGTGTCCCCGTCTCCCCTGCCCCTCTGAGTGGCGTGTGTGATGGGACTAATGACAGCTAGAACCAATTCCGGTAACGAGGTCACCTTGGGCGCTGTCTGACGCTGTTTTCCACGGCAGTTGCCGAGGAGGCCCGGCCCCGTGCCCAGAATCTCTCGCTCAGCATTGGGGCCGGGGCTGGAGTGTCCGAGCCGTGGACGAGCGGCCGGCCGCCCCTCGGCCGTGGCGGGGACGCGCTCACCTGCGCTGAGGTTCCTGACACGCCAGCAGCTGGTGCAGCGGCCAGGGGAGAGTTTACACGTGCTCCTGGCAGAGAACTGGGGCCACGGGGAGGGCGACACGCGTCACAGGAGAGGCTTCAGCGCTGCATCCCCAGGGTCGAAGCAGGGGTCAGGGAGCACGGTGGGGTCACATGGGGACAAGGGAGCATGGTGGGGTCACATGGGGTCAGGGAGCACAGTGGGGTCACATGGGGTCAGGGAGCACGGTGGGTCAGACAGGGACAAGGGAGCACGGTGGAGTCACATGGGGTCAGGGAGCACGGTGGGGTCACACGGAGACAAGGGAGCATGGTGGGGTCATAGAGGGACAGGGAGCACGGTGGGGTCACATGGGGTCAGGGAGCACGGTGGGGTCACATGGGGTCAGGGAGCACGGTGGGTCAGACAGGGACAAGGGAGCACGGTGGAGTCACATGGGGTCAGGGAGCACGGTGGGGTCACACGGAGACAAGGGAGCATGGTGGGGTCATAGAGGGACAGGGAGCACGGTGGGGTCACATGGGGTCAGGGAGCACGGTGGGGTCACATGGGGTCAGGGAGCACGGTGGGTCAGACAGGGACAAGGGAGCACGGTGGAGTCACATGGGGTCAGGGAGCACGGTGGGGTCACACAGGGACAAGGGAGCATGGTGGGGTCACACAGGGTCAGGGAGCATGGTGGGTCAGACAGGAACAAGGGAGCACAGTGGAGTCACATGGGGTCAGGGAGCACGGTGGGGTCACACGGGGACAAGGGAGCACGGTGGGGTCATAGAGGGACAGGGAGCACGGTGGGGTCACACAGGGTCAGGGAGCACATGGGAGAGCCGTCTGCGCAGCAGTAGGGCGGGCAGACGCAGGTCACGGGGGCAAAGGGACACACGCGTGTGCGCAGGCCGTGCGGGCTGGGGTCGTGTGGGCTGGCTGCCCGGCAGGACGGCCTGGGCCCGTCCTCGTGCCTTGGCTGCCCTGTGGGGGACTCAGTTCCCCAGACCCGGGGGCCGTGTGGTCTCCGGGCGCTCAGAGTCACTGCTGTGCGTCCTTGCGGTGGCCCGGTGGCGAGCGCAGGTGGTAACCCGTCTCTGGGCCTGGCTTGCGGCATGCTCAGAGGGCTGCGGTCACTGGCTGGGGACGGGCCAGGTCACGGCTTCATCCAAGCTGACCTGCATCCCGCCTGGCCCCCGCATGGCTCTCCGGGCCCTCCTGAGCGTCCCGGCATCCGAGGCTGTCACCACACCATGCTCCCCCAGCGACCAGAATGTTCTGGAAGAGTCCTGGAGGCTCTGCGGCTGGCCTCGGGCAGGCCCGCGGCCCCACAGACGGCACCTGTGCCCTCCTGGCCACGTGCACTTGGCACCAGCATCTCAAGTCCGCCCTCTCGAAGGAGCTGAGGGTCAGGAAACCGTGACTGCAGAGTCCTGCCCGGCAGCAGGGGACGGCCGAGAGTGTCCCCTGGCGGCCGAGCATGGGCACCCGCCTCCCTGCAGCCTGTCTGTCCTGGGGAGCAGAGCCCACAGCCGAGCCGCCATCCTGCCCCCTGAACAGCTCGGCAAGGGGCCCTCTGGTCACCCGCGTCTGCCCCATGGGTCCTGGAGCGTCCGTGCAGTGGGGTCACCCCCCAGGCGATCAGCACGTCTAGAACCTTCCCACCAGTTAAGGAAAGTCCCTGGCCGGCTGTAGGATTCCCTGCGGCCGTTACCCAGGTTCTGCCTCGTGGGTCAGACGTTGGGTCTCAGTTTCCGTGACTCGAGACCCAGCAGCTCCCGGTTCTGGTTTGTCTCGTGCCAGGGCCCAGCGACCTGCCACCAGCAGGGACAAGGCCCAAGTGCCCGGCACTGGGCCGGACAGGTGCTCACAGCCGGGGGGCCTGGGAAGCGGGTGCTGCCCTGCCCTGCTCACGTCTGCCAGCCTCGCCACTGGGCACGAGCCCCCGCCAGGCACAGGACATGGATGCCCTCTGGAGAGATCACGGCACCCCTCCAAGCCCACGGTCGCGCCCGCTCTGGAGAAGTCTGCAGGGAGGGCCCTCTGCTGGGCCCAAGGGTTCCCCCACGGGTGGACAGCTTAGAATAGGACGGAAGCTTAGGTCGCCATCGCCTGGATGGTCCCCGTCATCACCCCGTCACCCGTCATCACCCCGTCACCCGTCATCACCCCGTCACCACCCGTCACCCCACCGCCCATCCCCCCTCACCCCTCGCTCCATCACGTGCCAGAACCCCTCATCCACTGAGAGCGTGTCCCCGTCGCTGCCCTTCCTGTTGCTGAGGTGGCCAGTGTTTTCGCAGGTGCCAGAGCTGAGCCGTGGAAGCTGGTACTGAGGAGACCGTAGGGGGCCCGTCCTGCACTGCTGTACGGGAAGCTGGTCTTTTGAGGGGTCCTTGTCTAGTATCCAGCACCCGGGGGACTCTGCTCAGCCTCCCCACCCGGGATCCCCTCAGCCTCCACACCCAGGGATCCCCTCAGCCTCCACACCCAAGGGATTCCCTCAGCCTCCACACCCAGGGATACTCCATGCAGAGCTGCGGCCCAGCGTCCCCCAGAGCCTCCTTGTGGGCTGAGCTGTCCTCCATGGCCTGCGAGAGCCTGAGGGGGCATTGCCACATGCTGGGGGTGTCCACTGAGACCTGAGCCCTGCCAGAGTCCCTGCGTGGATGACCCCAGCCCAGAGCAGCTGCTGCCGGTGACAAGGGACCCACATTTCTGTGCGGCCCCCACCTGGCCTGGGGTCAGCGGCTCCCCCCTCCCAGCTCTGCGTGTGCGTGTGTGTGTGCGTGTGTCAGGCAGGGCTCTGACCCGTGAGGGCAGCTCACTGCGGCCGCCAAGCTGGTGAGTCCTGCCCACGCGAGGCCCTGGGACACAGCGCGCGCCCCACTGCGGCTGTGAGCGGAGGCGGCCCGTGGGGGTGGGAGCCTCTGGGCCTCCGTTGCCCGACGTGTGTGTCGCCCCATCCTTGCCCTGGTGGTCGGCGGCAGCTCGAGAGCAGCAGCTCCCTCCAGCCTGGCTGCGGGGTCCGGGGGGCGCCCAGTGCTCGTTTCTGAGTCGCTCTCCGGAGCGGTTCCAGTTTGGGTTCGTGACGGGCGAGTAAGGGTCCTTCAGAAACCGAGACCCGGGCGCCCAGCCAGATTGGGCTGAGGGCGTCAGTCCAGAATCGGCCGCTGCCTCTCAGTTCCGTGTGGACCTCCAGGGTGGGGGCGCGGCACGGCGGGGGCTGTGGCAGCCACTAGCTCTCCTGGGGGCAGGTGAAGGGGTGCCAAGCTGACAGGGCTCCGGCCCCGGGCCAGTGGGGCGGGACCCCCAGAAGCCTGTGGGTAGAGCCTCCCGGCGTGAGGCTGGCGGGACTGGGCCGGCTGATGGGACGTGCCCCCGTGATGTCCCGCTTCCAGGGAAGCCCCGGGGGCTCACGTCTCTCCTCTCCCCACAGCTGACAACAAGGACCGACTGCAGAGCGCGACGGGGCTCAAGGTCCTTGGAGCTGGCGTCGGGTCGGTGAGTACGGCCGGGGGCCTCCTGAGCACGTCGACCGGGGCAGCTCAGACACCTGGGTGCCGAGCCCCGCGGGGCAGACACAGACCCCCACCACCCCCGTTCTCAGCGGGAGCCACACAGGGACCCCCGCCCCTCCCTCCCCGGGACACCAGTTCCCAGGTGTCGCCGAGGATGCAGTACTGCGCCATACCCCAGCGGAGGGGAAACGCCGTGGGGGTGGGGCTGACCCGCCCACTCGCCGCTGTGGTGGGGGCACAGGGCCAACTCGTCCCCTTGCTTCTGGGGGGCTCGGACCCATCTCCCTGCTGGGAGGGGGCCAACACCCGGGCAGTGAAGCCAGGCGCCCGGGGCCACCTCCAAGCCCGACGTGGGAGCCCGTTGCCGCCGGGGACACACACCCGCCAGAGCGCTCCGAGCCTTCACGCAGGGAACTGACTTGTGGGGGCTCGCGGGGCTTGATTGGGGGGATCTCAGGGTGCTCACGGGGGCCGCCCGGCAGAGGGGCACTTCTCCAGAGCCATCGCGGGGATGCCACGGTGCCCCCTGCTCCAAAAGGAGGCTTGTGTTGTTGGCACCAGGAGAGTGTGAAGGGCTGTTCCACACGCACGTGAGGGGCTGACTCATGCCTCTGCGAGGGGCTGTTCCACACATGTGTGAAGGGCTGTTCCATGTGTGAGAAGGGATGTTCCACACGTGTGTGAGGGGATATTCCACGTAGGTGAGGGGTCGTTTCATGTATGTGCGAGACATGGCGCACATGTATAAAGGCTATTCCACACGTGTGAGGGGCTGTTTCACATGTGTGAGGGGATGTTCCACACGTTTGTTAGGAGCTGTGTTACACATGTAGGTGAGAGGCTGTTTCAGTGCGTACGTGAGGGGATGTTCTGCATGTGTGAGGGGCTGTTTCATGTGTATGAGGGGATGTTCCATATGTGTGAGGGAATGTTCTATGTATTATGAGGGTACATTCCACATGTGTGTGAGGGGCTGTTCTATGCATTTGTGAGGGGATGCTCCATACGTGTGAGAGAGTGGCTGCTCCACGCATGTGTGAGAAATTCTGTCCCACCCATTGTGAAGGGCTATTTTACACATTTTTGAGGGGAAGTTCCACCCACATGTGAAGGGATGTTCCGTGTGTGTGAGGGGATGTTCCACCGTTGTGAGGGGCTGTTTCGTGTGTGTGTGAGATACTGTTCCACCCATACGTGTTGGATGTTCCACACATGATTTCGTTGTGTGTGTGAGGGGCTGTTCTATGTTAGTGTTTTAGGGGCTGTTCCACCTGCATTTGGGGGAGGCTGTTACACGTGTGTGAGGGGCTTTTCCACCATCTGTGAGGGGACATACTATGCATGTGTGAGGAGATGTTCCGTGTGGGAGAGGAGCTGTTCTAGGCATGTGTGACTGGATGTTCCACCCATGTGTGAGGGGATCTTCCACTGATGTGAGTGGCTATTGTACGCGTGTGTGAAGGGATGTTATTGCATGTGTGAGAGGATGTTTCCTGAGTATTTGGGGGCCAGTTTCACATGTGTGTAAGGGATTGTGTTCCACCCATGTGTGAGGGACTGTTTTTCCTGTGTGTGAGGGGCTGTTCAACATGTACGAGGGGCTGTTCTACTCATCTATGAGAGGCTCTTGAAGGTGTGTCAGGTGTTATTCTGTGCATGTGTGATGGACTGTCTCACATGTGGGTGAGGAGCTGTTCCATGCTCTGCGAGGAGTTGTTCTCCCTATGTGAGGTGATGTTCCACCTGCGTGAGAGAATGTTTCAGGCGTGTGAGAGGGGATGTTCCAGTCGTGTGTGAGGGGATATTCCGCTTGTGTTTGAGGGGCTGTTCTATGCCTGTGTGAGGGCATGTTTCCCTCATGTATGAGGTGCTGTTCCATATATGTGTGACGGGCTGCTCTACATGTGTGAGGGGATTTCCACATATGTGTGAGGTGATGGTTCCCTCTTGTCTGAGGGGCTGTTTTACACATGTGTGAGGGGATGTACCGCTCGTGTGAGGGGAAGTTCCACATGTATGTGAATGATTGTGTTCCTTTCAGATATATGGAGAAGTTCCACTGTTGTAAGGGACTGTTACACGTGTATGAGGGACTGTTCTACACATGTATGAGGAACTGTTCTACTTGTGTGTGAGGGGATGTTCCACCCATGTGTGAGAGGCTGTTCCATGTGTGTGTGTGAGTGGTAGTCCACTCATATGTGTAAGGGATTGTTCCACATGTATTAGGACCTATTCTATACACATGTGAGGGGCTGTTCTGCCCCTGTATATGGGCTGTTCCATCCATATGTGAGGGGCTGTTCTTTACCTATGTGAGGGGATTCTGTGTGAGGGGATTCTTTTCTACACATGTGTGAGGGAATGTTTCCCCCATGTGTGAGCAATTTTCTACATATATAAAAGGGCTATTCTGCACCATGTGTGAGGGGATATAACACTCATCTGTGAGGGGTTGTCATATGTGTGTGAGGAGCTGTTTCACCCATGTGTGAGGGGATATTCCACCCTTGTGTGAGGGGCTGTTGATGTGTGTGAGGAGCCATTGCACCACATGTGAGGGTTGTTCTACACATGTTTGAGGGGAAGTTCCACACGTCAGAAGGGCTGTTCCACAAACGTGTGAAGGGTTGTTTCATTGGTGTCTGAAGGGCTGTTCCACGTGTGTGTGAGGAGCTGTTCCATCTGTGCGTGAGGCACTGCTTTACACTTGTGTGCGTGGGTGCACCACACATGTGTAGGGGCTGTTCCAGAGGTGTGTGAGGGATTGTGTTCCAGCCTTGTGTGAAGGGATATTCCTTCCATGTGAAGGAGCAGCTCCATGTGCATGAAGGACTATTTTATGAGTGAGTGAAGGGCTGTTCCACCTGTGTGTGAAGGCTGTTCCGTGTGTGTGAGGGACTGTTCCTCCCATGCCTGGGGGCTGTTCTATACATGTGTGAGGAAATATTCCACTCCTGTGTGAAGAGCTATTCCACGCATGGTATGAGGGGCTGTTCTATGCCTGTGTAAGGAGATGTTTCGCACATGTGTGAAAGGCTGTTCCACACATATGTGACAGGATGTTCCACATGTGTGTGAGGGGATGTTCCACCCATGTGTGAGGGCTATTTCTTGCATATGAGGAGCTGGCTGTTCTATACATGTGAGAGGAGTGGCTGTTCCTCTCACTTATGAGGGGCTGTTTCACCCGTGTGTGTAAGGGGCCATTTCACCAGGTGTGAGTGGTTGTTCCATGCATACGTGAGGGGATATTTCACTTTTGTGAGGGGCTGTTCTACGAATGTGGGAGAGGCTCTTTCAACTGTTGTGTGAGGGACTATTTCACATATGTGAAAGGCTGTTCCACATGTGTTAAGGGATCTCCCACCCGTGACTGAGGGGCTGTTCTAGCCATGTGTGAGGGGTTGTTCCACATGTGCATGAGGGATTGTGTTATACCCATTTGTGAGAGAACGTTTCACTCATGTGTAATGACTGTTCCGCGTGTATGTAGGGCCCTTCTAAGCATGGGTGAGGAGATGCCCCGCCAGCTCTACACATGTGTGAGGGTGTCCCACCAGTGTCTAAGTGGCTGTTGTATGCACGTGTGAGGGGATGTTCCACCCATGTTGGGGGGATATTCCACATATGTGATGGCAGAGTCCACATATGTGCGAGGGGCTGTTTCATATGTGTGGGAGGGATTTGTTCAACCTGTGTATGAGGAAGTTTCATGCCTACAAGGAGCTGTTCTACACATGTGTCAGGGGCTGTTCTATACATTGTGATGGGTTATTCCACCTGTGGGTGAGGGGATGCTCCACCCATATGAAGGGGATTTTTCATGCACGTATCAGGGCCTGTTTATACACATGTGAGGGACTGTTGTACATGTGATTTGTGTCCATTTATGTGAGGGCTGTTCCACTCGTGTTTCAGGGGCCATTTCACGTGTCTGATGTGCTATTCTTCACACATGTTTGAGGCTGTTTCACTCTCGTGTGAGGAGCTGTTCCATGTGTGTTGAGGGACTTCCACGGTGTGATGTGATGTTCCACCCATGTGTGAGGGGGTGTACCACCCTGTGTGAGAGGTTGTTCATGAGCGTGTGAGGGACTGTTCTACTTGTGTGTGAGGGGTTGTTCCTCCTGTGTATGAGTGGATGTTCCAGGCATTGTGATGAGCTGTTCCACACATGTGTGAGGGATTATTTCCACCCATGTGTGAGAAGGTTTTCCACCCACATGTGCGGGACTATTCCATGCATGTGTGATGGTCTGTTCCACCCATGTGGGAGGAGTTGTTCTAACATATTTGTGAGAGGATGTTCCACTGTGTGAAAGAGGATGTTCCACACCTTGTGAGTGGATTCCACCCATGTTCGAGGGGATTTTCCATGCCTGTGTGCGAGGTTGTTCAGTGTATGAGGAGCTGTTCCACCCATACGTGAAGGGTTATTCCAGTGTGTGTGAGGGCCTGCTCCACCCATGTGTGAAGGTTTACTCTCTGCCTGTATGAGAGGCTGTTCCACATATATTGAAGGGCTGTTCCATGTATGTTGAGGAACTGTTCCATACGTGTGTAAGAGGTTGTTCCACCCGTGTGAAGTGACAGTCCATGCGTGTGTGAGGGTCAGTTCCACCCATGTGTGAGGTGCTGTTCTACACATGAGTGAGGGGATGTTTCACATGTGCGTGAGGGCATGTTCCACAGCTGTTCCACCCATGTGTGAGGGATGTCCCACACATGTGGGAGGGATGTCCCACACTTGTGAGGCACTGTTACATGTGTGCTTGAGGGGCTGCTCCACGTGTGCATGAAGGGTTGTTCCGCGTGTCTGTGAGAGAAAATTCCCCATGTAAGTTTCTGTGTGAGGGACTGTGTCCCACATTGTGTGAGGGCCTGTTCCACATGTGTTCGGGGATGTTCCTCCCAGGTGACTGATCAATGAACTGTTTGGGGTACACAGTGGGTCATCACTAAGCTGTTTTGGGGGGTGTG